GCACTTCCGCATGAGTTCGATTCCCGCCCGCCCCGGAGGTGACCACATGACGCGGCAGACCTCTCCTGACCTGCCCGCTGCTCCTCTCAGCAGTGGACTTCGTCGATCTGCCTGTTCTGCTCCCTGCTCTGTCTCTGGTGAAGCCTCTCACCGCCCCTGTACCTCTGGCTTGTACCCCAGTTCTGTATGTACAAATAAATAAATAAATCTTTAAAAAATAAATAATAAAAAGGTACAAAGGGTAAAAGTCACCTTCCCACCTTGGCACACTTCCCACTCTTGCCAAAACAACTACTTGTGGAAACTTCCAGGGCAGTGTAGTCCCTGTCTATATAGTTCAGTGGACACACAGCATCTCACACAACCAGTCTTACACACATGCCACACACACAGAGAGGCACCCCCACACACACACACATATACTACACCACACACATTGGCCTCTTTCAACACAACTACCTGATGCGGATGTGGATGAGAACGGAGACTGCTCCAACGTCATGGGCAGCTCTACAGGATTCTGTAGAGCTCAGCTGGCAAAATGGGAAACAGGCTTTCCTATGTGTTTTCTGGGACTGGGCGCTGCATCATCCTTTTTTAGAAATCAATGGGGTCTCCCTAGGAAGATTTTTACCCTCTGCCAGTCTGTGAGATGCTCTCTAGACACAACCTCCAAGAGCCATGGAAAGCACTAGACCTTTCGAGGCAGATGTCCCATCTTCCCTTCCCTGATGTCCTTCAGAAAGCAAATGGATAACTGGTCACACAGCCAGGGAGTGGAATATTACTCAACACTGAAAAATACTGAGTTATCAAGCCATGAAAAATTATGTATGAAACTTAAATGTGCTGTTCAGTAAAGGAAGCCAACCTGAAAAGACTACGTATTGAATAATTCCTTCTAGATCACATTCTGGAAATGGGGAAAAAAGTTAAAAAAAAAAAAAGAACAGAGGTTGGCAGTTATTTGGGGCAAGGGAGGGATAAATAGGTGGAGCACAGAGGTTTTAGGGCAGAGAAACTACTCTGCGATATTCCAATGGTGGGTACATGTCATTAAACATTTGCTCAAGTTCATAAACTGGACGACACCAAGCGTGAGCCCTGCTGCAAAACAGGTGTGTGGATGATAATGCTGAGTCAGTGGGGGTTCTTCACTTGCAACAAAAATGTTGATAAATGGGGACACTGGCATATGTGGGGGCAGGGGAGGTATGGGATATCTCTACACCTTTCTTTTAATTTTGTTGTGAATCTAAAATTGTTGTGTAAAAGAAGTCTAGGGCCCTAGAGGTGAGGTCTACATGCTTTCACCATGCTGGCCTGAGATTGAGGGAGTGACCCACATGGCGCGGCAGATCTCTCCTGTCTCCCCGCTGCTCCCCTCACCAGTATTATTCAGTCAATTCTCCTGTTCTGCTCCCCACTCTGTCTCTGGTGAATCCTCTCATCACCACCCCCACAGCTCTGGTCTATACCCAGTTCTAGGATGCATAAATAAATAAATCTTTAAAAAATAAATAAATCTTTTTTTAAAAAAAGGATAAATGCAATAGATTATCAAGTCACAAAGAATCATTTCTAGTAGTGAGACGTGTGATTTTTCTAACTTTTTTCAAGCTTCCATTCGTGTTTCTAGAATATTCATGAATTTGTTATTTGCAGAAGTCACACAAGCTTACTGAAGAATACTGTGTAATATTAAACAATTCCTATTCCTATTAAATTTGAAATAGATAAAGGCATCTATCTTTACATTGTCAGTTAAATGGATATTAAATTCTAGAACTATGAACAACTTTGAAAATATTTAATAAAATTTGATGAAATGTTTCTGAAATTAAGTCACACAGGGAAGTGAAATTAGAGAAAATTAACTTAGAAAAAATTGGTGGCCTTTTACAGAAAGTGCTTCAGACAATAAAATAAAACAAATCCCTCACCACCATAACATTCTCTATTTCTTCATCTGAACTGCTGCTTTCTCTGTTCCCAAGTTACTCATAAACGTGATTTGACCATTCTGGTATTCCAGAAAAATGTGAAAACTCTCAGATCTGGAGCCTCCCTGGTAACACAGGAGGCTAAAGTGCAGCATTACGAGGCTGTCTGCAGCCACTGAGGACAAGTTCCATCCCCGGCCAGGGAGTGACCCACAGGGCGCAGCAGACCTCTCCTGTCTCCCCGCTGCTCCCCTCAGCAGTGCATTTCAGTAGACCTGCCTGTTCTGCTCCCCACTGTGTCTCTGCTGAGTCCTCTCACCCCAACACCTCTGGCCTGCACCCCAGTTCTTATACAGATAAGTAAATAAGTTAAAAAACACCTCAGATCTGTGTACAGTCCAAGTCATGCTCTTCTGCCCCGATTCTTAGCTCTTTTATTCCTATTTTTCTTTTTTCCCTCTTTGCCTTTTTTTTTAGTTCCTTTTGATGGATTTTCAGGAAGCCGGAAAGGTTAAATCCACTTAGTCTACCTTGATCCAAATGTCTGGGCTATTATTATTTGTATTAATTAAAATAATTAGTTAATTATTTTTTGCAACAACCCTGCAGGATTATTATCTCCACTCCACAGATGACAAATGGAAACTGAGCACCTTGAGGCTGTCTTCCTAAACAAGAAAGACTGACCAAGAGAGAGAAGCCTAAGGACAGTGAAGGAAGATGAGCTGGGAAAAATGCTGACAGTGAAAAGTGAGCAGACTGGTTAGATGTGGCTCAAAGGGTAAAACCTGAGTAATGTGAAGAAACACTAAGAAAATAGATTTTAGGTCAAGGAAAAAAACTTTCTCATGACAGAGCTGCCTGATTAAGGGAAAGTGCTTTGTCAGGAGGCTGACGCATCCTTATTTGTATTCCTGTGTTGCCTTGGGCATGGGGGAGGTGGGGTGAAAACCTCTGAGAGCCTGTGACAGTATGTGCACCTGCTAGCTCATATTCCCATTTGGATGGAGACCAGAGGGCCTCAAAGGTGCGGAGCCCAGGTGCCAAGATGGGGAGAAGTTCCACATGCGGACTGCAGGGGGCGCTCCAGACCCAGAGGCAGATGAGCCAGGGTTCAGTTCTGGGCCCTGCCGGAAACCCGAGTCGAAGGGGGTTTGTTCCTGCTTCTGTCTCACTGGGTGTGGGGCTCAGATATTCCTCCAGCGTTCAAACTGGATCAGCTTGAGCCCTGTCTCGTTCAGGGTGTAAAGACTTCCCCCCACCAAGGCCGCTGAGAGGCGATGGTGTCCACCTGTGTCCTTATTTGACTGAGGAGCTTGGGCCCCTGAGGGGACAGTCTTGTCACAACCTTAGCTGCAGAGCGAACACTGAGAAACAAGACCTGGCGTGCTTTCTGGGGCAGACCTGGCCACCTTACGAAACCTGAAAGGAAGGAGGTTTCTTTCCTCCCATCCTGCCAATGGCAAAGGAAAAGAACAGAATTTCTTTGTGGCCTTTATTTTTCTTAAGATTGATTGATTGATTGTGTAGATGAACTGGGATACAGGCCAGAGGTTTGAGGGGTGAGAGGAGTCACTAGAGACAGAGGGGGTGCAGAACTAGTGGGCCTACTGCAATCCACTGCT